CCCCACCCCTGCCACTCCTTCTGCAGGTCGGTCCTGACGGAGGCCGCCTCTGAGAAGTTCCACACACACCCCACCCCCAGGCCCCGTGCTGGCCGGTGCCGCTGACCCCAGGGTGCCAGGCACTTTCCCTTGCAGAACAATCCATCCTCTCTCCCTATTGTGATTTCCTGTTTACTCCTCTGTCTCCCCTACAGATACGCCAGCGGCAGGGCTGTCTTTCACTGACGTATTTCAAGTGCAGGCGCTGGAACACTAACTATGTTTGTTGACTAGGGAAAGAACGGGTTTCCCAGCTAATGTGATCACTTCCCATTTTAAGCGTTGAAAGCTTTCCACCGAGGGTGGGGCCAAGCTGGGCCCGTTGGAATTGAAACCCTCTTGGGTCTGATGTGCAAACTCCTCTCCCTCCACTGTCTAACTACCACTCTTTTCGGACTCTTACAGAGGTCCTCTCTGAACCTCAGTTTTTTCATCTGTCTAGAGAAGAGAACACTAAGGGGAAAATTATAAGGACCACATACATGAATCATAATACTTTGTAAATGGCAATGGGATAAATGAAGTTGAAATGTGGGTACGTTATTAAAAAAAAACAGTGCTACCTTTCACTGAGCATGTTTTCTATACCAGGCACCGTTCTAATATCTCACTGGTATTAATGCCTTTTCATCCTAAATCAGCTCCATTGCAAAGAAAGGTAAACTGAGGCACAGAGCAGTTAATGATTCATTTGCCTAAGATTCCACATTGGAGGTAGAAGAGCTGGGATTTGAACCCCGGGCAGAGCCTACTTGCTTAACCACCACCCCATGTTGCGTCTCTATTAAATAATGTATAATATATTAGTATTATTTGGTCGGAGAGCTGCCCTCTTCAAATAAAACTGATCCAATCACACAACCGCCCTCTCCTGGGATGATTCTTACTCTAATGGTAATTCTGTAGGTAGAGTTTTTTGTTCATATTTATTTATCTATCCCAAGAATGGAAACATGTTTAAAATGTAGAAAAGAGGGGGCGCCTGGGTGGCTCAGTTGGTTAAGCGACTGCCTTCGGCTCAGGTCATGATCCTGGAGTCCCGGGATCGAGTCCCGCAT